CCTTTTATTGTTCCAATAGAGGTCTCTGCTGTGGTAAATTACAGTTCTCTCAGCTCACCGCCTCAACATCAGGCAGGGGTTTGCCCCATTTGTGCACTTCTCAGAGCTAATGGAAATTGTTCTTTTTTTTTTTTTTTTTTTTTTTTTTTTTTTTTTTTTTTTTTTTTTTTTTTTTATTTTTTTTTTTTTTTTTAGTGGTGGTTTCCACACTGCCTTTGTGCCATGGTGGCAGCCAGAATCCTCCTGTGTAGTTGCTTAAAAATTATGTTTAAAAATTGAGCCCTGTTGGTGAAACACTGTAGAGACTGACTGTTGGGTGTTGGCTTTCATTAGCATGGGAAATCAATTACAGTTCACTCCCTTGCACTTGGGAAGGGTTTGTTTTACGTCCTTAGGATTTGCCTTTCAAATTTTGTCCTTCAGTTTAGAAAAGTCTCTAAGCCCCGTCTCTGATTTCTCTTCCTCACCTGAACTTTGGGGGATGTCAGTAGCAAATAAGAGGGGGATTTTTGTTTTTTTTATATCTTATTTTTTTCTTTTGGAAGAGGGTCTCATTTTGTAATTCAGGATAGTCTTGAACTATGTAGGCCAGGCTGGCTTTGGTCCTCCTGTTTCTGTCTGGAGTGCTGAGATTATAGGCTTGCCACCTTTTGCTCATTTCTGTCACTTAACGGTACTCCAGACTTTTCCTTCCATGTGGCCACAGAAGACTGCTATTTTGGTCTTCAGTTGCTGATGGGCTGTCTCTCGCTGTCTGGGCATACACTGTTTCAGGGGTCAGTCAAGGATTCACAGAATGAAGATTCTGAGGCTTGTACTCTGTGGCTGTCTTCCTCTTAGGATGTCACTTGTCAGTTTTCATCATTCATGGTGACCTCAAACTCTGACACCTTACACCACCTCAGCTTTACTCTGGAATTCTGCCTTCTCCACACTGCTTGTGTGGCATCCCTGTGGGGGAGGGTGGGGGCGGGAGGATGATACCACGGGAGGATGATACCACGGCAGGATTTTGGACCAGGTTTAATACTGTGTGGCTTTTTTCTTTGCAGGGTCGAGTCCCTTCCAGCCTCTGCCTGTCTTGCTTTTTCCACTACGGTGCTTTTATTGATTTGCTAAAATATGTCACCTAGAGCTCATTTTGCTAGCTAGAAGATGGCTAGTGTACTCTGCCTCGAGAGATTTATTATTACTGTGTGGGATGTGTATTTGCAGGTCTCTGTGTGTCATGGTATATATGTAGAGGCTAACTACACGTGTGGCCTCTGTACCATTCTTTGTGTGGGTTGTGGGGGTCTGACTTTTTTTTTTTTGCCTCATGTAGTAAGCATTATTTGTGTGTGTGCTGAACCATCCATCAGGTGTCTGGTGTTATTTTTTTTTTTTTAATGGTTTTTAAGATTCGGTCTCATGTAGTTCAGGCTGGCCTCAATTCACTTTGTAGCCAAGGCTGGTCTTGAACTCCTGATCTTCTTGTCTCCTTCTGGATTCCAGGCATGCTTTACCATGCCCCATCTTGGATGATATTGCTCCAGCTATCTTCAAGTGGCCTAGAACTCACAGAGATCTGTTTGCCTCTGGCTCCCACCTGGTGCTATTTAAGGCCCCGTGTCACCATACTCAATGGTTATTTAACTTTTATAAGTCACTCCCAGCTTTTGTTTGATTGACTGCCAAAGCTTGTGTAACTTCAAGTGCTCTTTGCTGGTGATGGAGAGACAAATTTTTTGTCAACTCTAGACAAAGACGGTAATTCCTAGTCTCTGCTGGACCCAAGTGTCTGTCATGGGAGGAGACCCCTAATGGAGGCTTTGATCTGCTGAAGGCTATGGCATCTACTCATTTTTCTCGAGAGTTCCCTTTTTATTTCCATCCATATTGGATGAGAAAGCTATGTCTGTGGAGTGCTAGCTTTGGTCCCTCTAGATTTTTTTTTTTCTTTCTAAGTTGAACTGTGGCATTGTGCTATCATCTTGAGGTGAGAACACACCACAGCTAATCACAGTTGTGTTATTCTGGTGTAAGGATATCCTCAGACTGGGCAAGGCTGTAGACACCTGTCATCCTGCAACTTGAGTGGCTGGCACTTGAGGTGATGTAACAACATCATCTTCAGCTCAGGGAAATTAACCATCTTGACATCCACCAAGCTCAGCAATCACCAGTGGAGAAATCAGCTTTCAAAAATGTCAGATTTAGGGACAGACAAGATGGCTTGTGGGTAAAAAGCTCTTGACACACAAACCCGAAAACTTGAGTTTGATTGCTTGAACTCACAGTGGAAGGAGAGAACTGAGTCCGAGAAGTTGTCCTCTGACTTCTGTGCGCCATGACACAGCTCCCCTCCCCAGTTACATTTCTGAAAACCTCAAGAGATTTACTCTCAGAGGCTAGAGATGCAAGACATTTAAACAGATGTCCACTGGTTGAGATGGAAGGCAAGTCCAAGGGGGCAGACCTAATCCCTCTGGACAAACAATCGTCACCAGAAAGACAGACTCCAATCTCAAGGTAATTTATTTGGCAGGGAAAAGCAATCTTCCAATACCCAGGACTGGTGTGTCTTTTGCAGCTCAGGGTGAAGGTTGGGTTTTAACAATTTGGCCATCCTTCCTGTAGGGGGAGCCAAAGCTTGTGATGGGAGCACGGGTCCTGAGCAACTCCACGCTTCCCCTCTCATTTTCAACCTGGAAGACGATGCTGCAGAAGCTGCGCCCCTACAGAGAGGAAGCCCCGAGTACCAGGCGGTGCTGCCAAAGGTCACCAGGGTTCTTGCAGATGTCCTTCAAGACATTGCTGATGACAACAGCTCCCGAGCGGACTACTCTCAGGACCCTTCGGTGACTCCCTGCTGTAGCCCCTCCCAAATTGCCTGCCGTTGCCAAACTGTGTGACAGGTCATTTTTCCCCTGAGGAAGACTATCTAGAAACTGTAGACAGGTAGGTTCACTTCCAAACTTCATGCTGGCCATGGATGTCTACTTTGGGAAGGGAGTTGCACAATGTGGTTTGGAAGGCATAGTCTTCCCTCTCCCTGTGTAGACTGCTCCTCTACATGCATGTTTGAGAAGCATCCAGCGCCCGTACAGTGGGCAAGGCATGATTAAGCACTAGTGGGCTGTGGAGTCTTGGCACAGGTCCAAGCCCCAGGTTTTTAGCTTGGGCAATGACTTAAATCCCAATTGCAGAGTTGATTTTGAAGGTTAACGTTAACACGTGACATTGCTGTGTATGTTCCCAGGACCAAGCAGGTCTTATTAGTTTCAGTTTCTACCTTGTCCCCAGTTTCACTGGTCCATTGGAGAGCAAACTCACTCTGACGGTCTGTAGCGCTCAGCCATCTTCAATACCCATACAAATGGTGGGGATCTTGCAAAATGCAGAATGGCCCAGAAGATCTGGACGAAGGTCTGGGAGACTACATTGTTGCTGTATTTCTTTGAGACACCTTGAATAACACAGAGCTAAAAGGAAGTTAGGTCTTCCCAGGCCCTGGAGCAGAAGAACTCATGGGCCCTCTCTCTTGTGAATGTCAAATGGGCAGACTATAAAGATTTAGGAGTTTAGGGCTGAAGAAATGGCCCATCAGTTAAGCGCACTGGATCTGGGTTCTGCTCCCAATGCCTACATGGTGGCTTAAACTGTAACACTAGCTCTAGAGGACCCATCACTCTCTTCTGGCCTCTGAGGATGCCAGACATGCACGTGGTGCATATACATACATATATGTAGGCAAAACACTCATATATTAAAAATCATCTTTTAAAATAAGATTTAAGATTTCCTCCAAGCCCCCACAACTTCCAAGAAATAAAACAAAAAACGTAAACAACTCACAAATGCATTGCCATGATTTTGTTTAATTAGTGTCCTAAATGGGACTCAAGGGTAATAAATGATTTATTCCAATCACTGCAAAAATACTTTGCCTGGCTAAAATAATTTCTCTCTCTTTATGTCTGTAATATACAAGAAACACAATTCAAAGAGATTTCCTACTAAGTACTTTCTTTTTTTTAAAACACAGCATACATTTAACAAGGATGCCCTTTTTAATATAAAATTCCGGTTATAGACCAATATGGTTAGTTAGCATTTACACTGTGGTTTGAAGGTATTTTAAATAGCATGACATGACCCCAACGTTCTCCTCACCCACCCAGTCCAGCCACGGCTGAGGGGACTGACCACGTTCTATGGCTCAGGCAGAGGCACCCGGGATTCCTGCCTCCCTTCCCTCTCTGCTCACACAACTGATTGCACTCCGTTTCTTCCACTGTCCTTGTTTTCTCCAAAACCACCCGACAGGGGGTGTCCTGACTTCTGGGGTGCGCTTCTTGTCAGGATTGCTTCGTTTTGCCCTTCTGACTTCCGCGGCACAAGATTATCTACCAAAATCAAAACAGAAGGGCCTTACTCTCCTCGGGAAGAGGCTGGGGGAGGCAGGCTGGGTTACCCACTGGTCTTTGCTGTGTGGGTCAGCAGGGGAGGCCAAATCTTTTGAAACTTTTATACATGACCACAGACTGACCCTCACACATGGCCATGGAAAAATCCACCCAACTTATGTAGGTGTGGACAACTGTGAACAGATCCTAACAATACTGTTTAGAAACTGCATGTGTCCACATGTATGCTTTGTATGTACATGTGGTGCTTTTTTCTAAAGGCTCATCCTACTTGTAAACATGGACTGCTAAAATGGCTGTAAAAAGAACACAACACGTCAGCATAGGCTCTTGGTCTGAGAAGCTGTTCTTTCTTTCACTCACTGGGTTAAGGGTAGTGTCACAGAGTACAGATTGCATGCTGGCTTGCTAATGAAGCAAAAGCTGCTGGCCTTCCTCAAAGCCTTTCCCAGGGCACCAGAGATGATAGGCTTGCTTTTCTCCTGCTGGTCTCCAAGCGAACTCAATCCCAAAGAGGAAAGTGACACTGGGAGGGAGGGCAGTGGCGGTCTACTTTGTAAAGGGAGCTAGTGATGACTCACAGGCTTAAGGCAGAGGCCCAGGGGCTGGAGGCTGACTCCACCAGTGAGCCCAATATTCCCACCAAAAAGGGAAGTGATTTTGCTAAGCTGAGACTCCACAGATCCTTTTGTAGTCTCGGAAGCTTCTAAAGAATGGTGAGAAAAAATGGGCATTCTGGGAAAGTATTTGCAAGAGGTGTGTGGTTCAGAATCAGCCAGGGAGAGGGGGCTTTCCTAGGAAGCCCAGTCCAACACTCAGGCTACAGGGGCATGACTGAGACGGCTGCACTGAACAGCAGCCCAGCAGCACTCTGGACTCTGCTCGTTGTGCCTGGAGACAGAGGAGCCTGCCTGCTGCTGACCCAGGACCTCAGCTGGAACATTGGCTCCTCTTCTCCATCGGCCTGCAGGCTGTGGAACAGTCTGGGCCTGGAGGCACCCATGACACCCAGCACCTGCAGGCACCCAGAGGCCACCACCATAGCTGGACTCTAACAGTTCAGGGAACTTGTTTACTGACAAACACTACTGGCAGGGAGAATTTGTGTATAAACTTTATTTTTTTTTTTTTTTTTTGAGGTCATGGATGGACCCAGTGCCCATTCCCTGAGCTACCCACATCCCTAGCCTAGACAAGAATTCTAAATGCAGTTTAAGCCAACTTTCACAAATTTGCTCTTTAAGAGGAAGATGGGACAACTAGTTTGTATCCAATGTCCTAGCAGTGTTTAGGTGAGCATGCCTGCGACACATTTGAACGTTAGTAGTTTTGGGTGTGTGTGTGTGTATGGTGTGTATATGGGGGAGGCTGAGCATGGAACGCAGAGCTTCTTACATGCTAGGCCTATATACCATCATTAATCCACACCCCTCAACACAAGTTCCTAAATTAAGCATCCCTGATCCTCCTCCCCACCAGGAAAATGGCTTACTGGGGTTATTATTTTATACAGGGTTCCTTCAGCAAGAGACCACCTCCTACATGCCATTGTTCAAATTACTCTAATTCTGTAAGCACAGGAAGTTGCAAGTTCTGCTCTGATTACAGTGAAGACTAATTTGAGATGTATCAGTCTTCTACAGCAGCCTCAGATTTTTACCAAAATTGCTAAAACAGAACCAATCGAGCATCAGACCTAGGCAGACTAGGATGCTCTGGTCATGTTTGTCCCCATTGTCTGACCTAGAATGCTGTGGCTCTGGGGAGATGTAATGTCAGTTAAACAGTCAAATAACCACTAACTTTCAGAAGACATAAAATCTCCTTATAGTTCTAGGTGGCACTGTGGAAGCCCAAAGGTACCACTGGTTTAGGCAGTAGGCCAATGGCTGCCTTAAAATGCATAGTTTTTTTGTTTTGTTAAAAAAAACTACTCCTTCCTACCATTACTATATTAATGTCACTTGGTGGCAATATGTTTGTCAACTTGCTTATCCAAGTCCAAAAATGTAAATTTCAAACTGCAATCTACAAAGCCAATATGGAAGTCACATATACCTCCTATTCACACGAAAAGGGGGCCTCACCCTCTTCAGGGCCTACAGGAGCACTCCCTTCTATTCCCTAAGTCCTGATATGGCATTGTATCCATCTGAAACAATTTCAAGTTGCCTGTTGGGATTTGTTTGTTTGTTTGTTTGGGCCTTGGGTAGCCCAGGCTGGTCTTGAGCTCACTATGTAGCCAAGATGAGCCTGAATGTCTGATACTCCACTCCTGCCTCCATCTCCCAAGCACTAGAATCACAGGAGTGCACGACCACACTCAGTTTAATGTGCTGCTGGGAACTGAACCCCGGGCTTCCTACGTGGGCAAGCACTCTACGAACTGAGCCACGTCCCTAGCCACTAGTGTGTTTTCTAACGGAAATTCACAGGAGGGGTGCACACTGCTTGAAGATGTAGCAGCTAAGGAGGCCCTGACAGTCCCCAGGGTAGGGGGAGAGTCTTTCCTCCAGCCATTGGTAGAAGCCAAGTCCAGTGCTCAGCCACCCATGGTGTCTCTTACTACCAGCAAGCTGAAGTAGGTTGCTGGGAAGCCTTGCTGAAGGTGTCCAGGTGAGCTCATGCCACCCACACTGGCTTTATACATCTGGTTTCCTGGGGAGTGCCCGAAGCTCCTGGGGATGTTCAAGAGTGCAAAGCCAGAGCTGCAGGCAGGGCTCCTCCTGTAGCCAGCTCAGAGTCCCAGACATGACCTAGCCCCTTTAACTCAGTAACAAGTAACAGGCAGCATCCTACAAGGGCATTCCTAGGCACCTTGGAAAACCAGGCAGAAACCCCGACCTCACAAGCAGCAAAGGCAGTGTAGGCACAGAGGCAGAGGCAAGGAGTCTGGGCCTCTGGTGACCCAGGTTAGTATTTGGTTATGGTATTGCTATCAGGCTTCAAGCACCACACCAACTGGGGTCTGAAACTGCAAAGTGGGTGCCCTAGGACTCTGAGCATTTGAAAGAGGATTAGTGGTTAGGAGCTAGAGCACGGGGCAGTGACTTTGCCTCTTGTGGAGGCAAAGCTTGCTTTCTTCCAGGCACACAGATGGAGTAACTCTGTTAAGGGTTCCGAATGCTCACAGGGGGAAACTCATTCTCATCGTCAAGACACACTGGTCCCGTTGCAAACTCGTGTTCTGGAATAACTTCTCCTCGGAGTGCCCCACCGTCCTCAGAGTAACCTGGAAGCAAGAGTTAGAAATGAAACAGGTGGCTCCCCATGGTGGGTGGGCACTCCATGGTGGGTGCTGGAGGGCCAGGACCTGAGAAAAGGGGAAAATGGAAGCAATGGGGGATGCATCTCTGCTTTCCAAATAGAGGGTCGGCTCAGGTGATTCTAAATCCTCTCCTCAATCTAGCCCCTGAGCCCTGAGAGGCAGGCAGGTCTCATCCACTTCCCATCTGAAACTCGGGCTCTTTGGAACTCTTCAAGAAGCAAAGGGTTACTGCTTATTAACTGGTGCCTTTAGTCTCAGCACAGGGAGGCAGAGGCAGGTGGATCTTTGTGAGTTTGAGGCCAGTCTGGTCTACATCGTGAGACCCTGTCTTAAAGAAAGCAAACAAAAAGAAAGAAGGGAGGGAGGGGGAAAACAAACCTTGGGCTACACCCTCCAGTGCTAGTGACCTGAGGTTGAAGACTATTTCCAGGCCTCACAGTGAGGAAATAACACAGTGAACACGGACAGTGCTCAGCCTAAGATAACAGCATGAGGAGAAGGCAGCCCTGGGGGGGGGGGGACCCCACGGCCAGCCACTCACCTGGCACAGTGGAAGCTGCAGATGTGCTGGGCCTCGCTACAGTTGCTGCGTAAGATGGAGGTACCGAAGGTCTGAGGTCATTCTCTTTGTTCTCGTCTGTTGTTCCTGAGCTGAGCAAACTATTTGCAGCAATCAGAAAGGAAGAAGGATACAAGAAGTCAGCGCATCTCCAGAACACCTTCACGAGGAAAAGGGCGAGGCGGCTCGCACTTTGCTGTTTGAGAGTAAATTACAGACCTGACAGGACACTGTCAGATCAGCATGTACCCAAGTAGGTCAGCCATGCACCTTCAACATGATCCATCACTTATATGAGTAAGCGAAGCCCCGCCCTCCGCTCGTCTGGTGTTTTCAGGCCAGACATGCTCACAAGGTCTTGGGTGAGGTGCCGTGGCAGCTCAAGGTATCCAGTCCACCACTGGTCAGCCTGCACATGTCACAGAATCTTAGGAACTTTGACATATGACTCTGTGAACATTTTTGACTATTCACTGTGTTCTTCAGGGCTGTGCCAGGGGGATAGGCTAAACAGGGGACATCTCATTTGGGTTATTATGTTATGTGTCTGGGCGCTGTCCCAAAAGGAACAGACAGCAGGCAAGGGGGTAGCCAACAGACTGAGCTGAAGCAGAGCCTGCTCGGAGGCTTGCCATAGAGACTGCCGGGAGGGAGCAAGAACACTGGGGTGGGTCACTGTCCCCAA